GCTAGTTAGACGGGCTAGATTTTTATTATTCCCAATAGAAAATAACGTTTTATGCTTGCAGACTGCAGTTCAGTCTTGTAAAATTGTTAAGAATTCGAATAAATGTAATAATATGAATATATTGTATTCAAATACTTTTTTTAGATTTTGAGCGGAGCGATGATGAATGTATTGATTTTACAATGATGTGTGATTTTTATTTTTTTGTGTCTGTCATCACGTTTTAGGATAGTAAAAATGCTTAGATTTTCTTCAACAATATATTTTCTGATAGAAAAATGAACCTATATGGTACTTTGGGGGTCAAAAGTAGTTTTCAAAAGCGCCGTGCAAAACAAATGAAAAATTAAGGAAAAACGGGAATTTTTACGCAAACCCAATTTTGGTCAAAATCGATTTCGGTTTTTGGTGTAATTCTAAAAAAAATGTCCGTAGATACATGAAATTTTCACTGGTTGTTTATATTAACACTTTCTATATTTGATACAATTTTCAAAATATTTTTACTTGTTTTGAGCTGTTTACGGATATACTTAGTTTCCAACTTTTTTAAGTTTTTTTATGTTGAATGTCAATAAAACTTTATTTGTTGGGTAAAAAAGCTTGAAAATTTAATACAATGCTTCTTATAAATTATTACAATAGTGGTTGAAGAATATTAAAAATCTTTAGTCACAGTTTTTTTTTATAACCATTTAAAGTTCAAATCTTGACAAAATACGGAAAAAAACATGAAAATTAGCAAATTATTTTGAGTTAGAAATCCATAAAAAATTTTGTTTTTGAATCGAAGATTTGAAAAATTAATATAAGATTCTTCATAAGTATGCCTAATTTTATCAAAACAAAAAATCTCTACCGGAAAGTCAAATTAAATTTTTATGAGCATTTGAAGTTCATATTTGTATCTTGTATTGTAATAACATGACTAACATGATTTTGGTTTGATAAAACATTTAATCCCAAGTAATGAGTTGTGTATTATAATTTTGGCAAACGTAGAAAGTATATTTAATATTAATAAGCTTTTATAATTCCTGGAAACTTGGGGGGAGGGGCGTA